TTTTTTTGTATTCCGTAACAGATAAATGTAATGAAACTCTGCATTATAATGTTTTTGAAAGTCTATAAAGCCAATTATACATGCCATCACAGTGACTAATTTGCATTCTTTTGTGTGATTCGTTTAAGTGTTTGCAAGTATTTTGACCTCTGTTTTTTCCTCAGTGAATTGACTTCCTCTGTATCCTCACGGCTGTATTTTAAATTCACTATATACAGTTATACTGGTCTGCTTTGTTTTGAGTGGTCAGTTAAGGCTTGTATAAATACATTTTTTAATTCTACAAATATAAATTCTGAATGCAAGTTTTATTAACATTCTGGAATGTTTTTTTTTTTGTTGCCTTTTCTTGAGGGCAGGGCTTTTTAAAAATACCTCAACCTCATTCAAGGCCACTACTCATTAATGTCCAATTCAGTCCAAGATGGCCGCTGTTTATTTTCCTAGTTAATGCTTTGTTGTGTTCCACTATGCTTGTTAATCAGATACTTGAAATCCATGCCCAAAATCTTGTAAACTACAGTAATGTTTTGATGTCTGTCAGGTACAGTTGTCAACAGGCAAGAACAATGCTGTGGTTGTCCACGTAAGAATTTTACGTTTCTCAGTTGCCACATATTCAGTAAAGCTTCCAGTAACTATTAAATTAAATGATGCATCGGTATATACTTTAAGGAATTCCAAGGATTGTGCTTAAAATAAAAAATCTCAGTTTTAAATCTCTTGCCTAGCTAATCTTAGAGATTAACATACATCTGCTAATTAGCGTCTTAGATTCAAAATCCAGAATCGATATGTCCTTATCTTGAGCTGTTGTCTTGTTCTCTAAGAACTGCATTGTTAAATAGTTTCTAAATTCCCAACCACTAGTAATGTGTGGTTAGTCTCAAAGTGCAAAATAATGTAAATTTTCACTGCGAACCTTTAAAATTATTTTTAGAATTCAAAGGTGTTCAAATGAATGTTCATTGCTATAGAATTTGTTAATTTCTCCCACACTCATTATTAAAGGTTTGTCTCCCACAAAACTATAACCATTTGACATAACTGAGCAGTATTTAGTCTCTATTCCGTTCAGAACTCGCATTTAGTTGAAGTGATTATGTTTTTCATTCAAAAAGAACATTCAACGGTTGTACAAATATGCTTTGAGCATGACTTTCTGGCCAAATGTGAGAAAGCTGTTTTTTTATGCTAAATTACCTGGAGGGAATTACTCACAGCGAGGCTGAAACTTTCTCTTCAAATACAGATCACGGCAGTGTTCAAGACAGTTCATATATTATTCCAGAAATCTTGGGTGATATAGTGGTTTAATATTTCCTCAATGAACAGCTATTGATAATTAACGACTATTGTATTTCACCTCTGCTCTATGTGATAAACAAATCCTGGTAGTTTGCCATAGTAAATCTTTCAGTAATAGCCCAATGCCTTCTGTGCTTGTGAATTGGATACTGATATGATAATGCCAGCCACTATGGAATTCAGTGTACAAGTCCTGAACGGAGAAGTACAATGATGTAAATAATGCAGAAATTCTAATGAGTGAAAAAAAACAAAACAATCATAAAATGTTTGATCACAATCCTATAGCATTGATATATCCAAAAGAATTGAATTGAAATGCATTTGTGTTTGTTTTGCAACATTTATTTCAGATCATTGTCGGCCTCTCCCAAGTGTAAAGTATAATATAGTCTTGACTAATGCTAGGCTAAGCATATGCCAAAGGACTGAAAATAATGTGTAAATTGAAAGGTGTAACCTGTGAATTCATTATTGTCTACAGTTACTCGTTAACAATGGCGAGTAAATTCAGTCAGCAGGCAAGCTTAATTCATGGACGTTAGTTTTCTACGGTATGTGATTAATCTAACACGAAAGCGTCTGTACTGCAGCAGAGCTTAATGTCTCAACAAGGGTGCACCTCAAATAAAGTTGGCCCCAACATTTTATGTACATCTGTAATTTATTTTACATGTGTACACCTGAGTGCAATTAATAACCTGCCAACTTCAAAACTATTTCATACAAATTGGTAGACAAATGTTTGTTGATTTGTGGCTATACTGGCTAACATGTTTTTTTTTTTTTTTTACTTGGCTGTTGCACAATTTAAACATGTTTGTGGGTGTAATTTATAGGCTTCATTAGTGCAAATGTCAGTCTTAATTCTAGACAGTTGTTCAAACATTACGGCAGAAGGTCAGAGTGTAAAATATGTTGTAGGCCAGTTTGTGATAGTCCAATCTCTGTGGGCGCTTTTTCCAAGTGTACTTGCATTCCATTCATAATTGGGTCCCTGTGTGACTTATACCAGATTGCTGTTACACTATAGTTAGCATAATTTCTTGTATTTCAAATTCTTTTCTAATCTTCTTAATGATCACACTTGAATTGACGAAAACTTGTTTTCTTTAAGTTGCTCCACTTTTGTCTAGTATTACGCTACTAGGGCAAATCTTGAAATTAAAAAGCAAGCTCTGGGGAGTCAATTGAAAAAAATTCTATTGAGTGAATCAATTTTTTAAATCCTGGAATCTGAATTCCAATAATAAACGCGTGTGCTATATGTGCTCAGGAATAATGTCTGCCTTCCCTTCGATCCAAACAGAAAATATTTAAAATAGATTTTCCCACTTTTTATGCTTCCTGCCAACCCTTCTATTTAGGCTAAAATAGGTGTAGGGGACATAAAGGTCAAATTGCAAGTCTAGTTAATATTTACAAATAGTTTATTGCAGATTTTGGTGAAGCAATATTTGTTTACTTAGTCTCTGTTCAAGGTTCGTTTAACCAGTAAGTGGGTCAATCAGTCACAAATACACATAATTTTACATTGAAAGGCATGGCAGTTTGCATTGTTTGAAGTGTGTTTTGGTTAATATTTGACATATCCACTACAACACTGCTGGCTGCACACAGCTTGTCCCCACTGTTCCTTTCAATGCTATTAATGTAAATGTTAAAATAACCTTGTAGGCCTCTATAAGAATTAGATTTAGACTGTCTTTAGCGATCATTTCTGTTAAAAGTAAGCATTACCAAACAATTTGTAACATAACAGTACTTATGATTAATGGCAAATTGGGACCCTTTTTATTGCTCTTTTTCTGTACCCGAGACCATCAGAGCAGAACTTGGTTGACATCTATAAACATTGCCTACATAGTCACGGTATTTTGTGTAATTATTTTGAATGCAGTTGATGTATTCTGAATTTAATGATTGATGCAGCTAATACTTTTGACTGAGGAATTTCCTGAAATTTTGCGAAATTGCTCCCTGAAAGCCTAAAGAAAACCTTGGGGCTAGAACGAGCGTTTGATTTACGAGTCATAGTTGTGTGTATTTTGACAAATTTTCAATTCAAAATGGCCGCCAGAGTAGTGATCAATATTATGGGAAAAATCAGAGTGATTGTTTCCATGGAAACAAGTTGGGTTACCCACTCTTTTTATTTGTCATTTAATTGATTTGATTTATTTGAATCTTTCATTCTGGAAAATTTCAAGAATTTGTAGTTCTTATAGATGTTCCGCCATTTTACTAGTTAGCCATATCATAGTCTCTGGCCGTATTTTAACCATTTACCATATGAATTGATCATGCAGTTTAAGTCCTATTTGTGCTGAACTTACAGAAATTTCAATATTTTATCTGATCTGAAAATTCTCAATTTGTCATCAGTCTCACTGTATATATTGCTTCATCAGATGTGAAATCTGACAAATTAGATTATTGGTTATTATTACATTCCGTAAACTGGCTTATTTTGTAAATTTTTTATTATGGCCTCCAGCCATGTGGTGGCTGATGTAAATGATAGAAAAATGAAACACAAGGGTTAATAGGAATAATACTGTAATGTTTGAATGGTCTGACTAGGCTGCCTCTCAT